AGAGAGAGAGAGAGAGAGAGAATACTCTGTCGCACGACAAAAGTCGATCGTGTGCCTGCAGCGACCCGCACACGCGGCACACGGCCCGCGCTCTGGTATAATTGGACGCACTCGAAACTTTTGTTATACGTGATTAATCGTCTTTCGTCTTTTACAACTTTGGTAACTAATATTTTTTATATACTTGTCTTTTCTTAAACTTCTTTTTCTCTTTTATAAATTATCTTTTCCTTCAGTGATCGCCTGTCTAAGTAAAAACAATCAGAACCATGTCAAAAAAGAAATCAGGAGCGGAGTTCCGAAAATTGAAAAAGAAGCGAGAGGAAGAAAGAATACAGCTTGCCAGCACTTGGCATAAATGGCTGAATAAAGAAAAAAATTCAGATGCCGGCTGTTCTTCATTGACTACTTTTACTGAGGAAAAAGATCGTTCTGCACAAGACAGTGATAATGAATCGAAATCAAAAACTGAAGAACAGAATTTATCTTCTCCAGAAACTACTAATACAGATGACATTGTTGCTCAAGATAAAATTGCAGGAGAAAAAGAATTACTGAATGCCTTTGATCCAGCGACATGGCAGCGTCCCTACAGTCATTCTTTAATTGCTGTTCTTGTAGAAAGAGGTCCTGAGCAAGGCACAGATACTGATTATTTAAAGTCTATGGATAACGAAGGTCGACGATTTTCTACGAAATGGTTATATAAAACTATGCCTAATGGAGAAACTGTAAAACGAGATTGGTTAACATATAGCAGACACAAAGGATCAGTATTTTGCTTCTCATGTTTATTATTTGGAAAGTATAATCTTCGCCCTCCAAAGTTATCCGATCCAGATCGTGGTTTTTCTAATTGGAAAAAATTAAATCCTAAAATTAATGAACATGAAAACTCACAGGAACATAGAAACTCGTACATCCATTGGAAAGAACTTGAGAGACGATTGAATTCAGGTCATGTTATTACATCTGAACTCGAAAAAAATATTCAGTCAGAAAAAAATAAATGGCGAAAAATTTTGAAAGCGGTAATAAACGCTATTCTTTATTGCGCCGAGAATAATTTGGCATTAAGAGGCTCATCAAATGATATAGACGATAGTAATTGCGGCGTTTTTCTGAAAACTATTAAGTTAATAGCAAAACACGACTCAGAAATAC